CTCTCATAGGTCAACACATGCGCATGCATTAATGGAACGGGCGATCGGCAGGCGGTTAGTCGCGATTATATTTAGACGGGAGCGACTTGTATTATCGCGACGCGCGCGGGCGAGAGCCTCGGGTATCGCCTCGCGATCGCCTTACTACAGCGGATGTTATCTCGATCGGCGTACAATAACGCGCCGCGCTCGGCGCGTGTCGTCATCGACACGGTGGCGCGCGCGTCCATCGCGAGTCCTTGCCCCGTTCTCGGCTGATGCAAAATTCAGAAACGCGCGCGCGCGCGCGCCGCGGGGCTGCGGGATCTAGGCTGAAAAAGTCGTCGTCCAACTCGCGTCACGGAGCCGCGCGAGCGACCCATATTACATCGACACACCCGCGCCGTGGCGCGGGTGGCAGGAGGGGGAGCGAGAGGCAGAGGAGAGGAGAGGAGAGAGCCCTTCGCGTGCGACGCGCGACTGCAACTCTCGCGACGCGGAAGACCGACAAGGTCGCCACCGCCGCCGTCGCCGTCGCCGCCGCCGCCGCAGAGCGCCGAGAGTGGAACGTTCCCGGCGGCCGCTGCTGCAGTCAGGTGTGAACGTTCGACGCCGCGAACCCACGCGTCGCGGGGAAAATCCGTCGTCTCTCCCCCGCACGTCGCGTTTCCGCTAGGAAGCGAGCGACGCCGTCTGGAAAACGTCGGCGACGGCCGTCGTTTTCCACGTGGGATGACGACGGACGCGCTCGACCGACGGACGATGACCGCGACGCGACAGTGAAACGCCGCGACGACGACGACGACGAGCTCTCGTTTATTCATCGATTCCGCCCCCGTTCTTTTGCGAGTCCTCCCGCGAGAATCTAGAAAAACGCCGAGATTTCGCCTCATCTCGCGCGCTGGCTGGCGCGAGCCGAGTTCCTCCGAGTCGGGCGCGCCGCGACTCTGCCGCGTTTTCCGCTCGCTCTCGTGATCAATGACTCGAGAGAGAGAGAGAGAGAGAGAGAGAGAGAGAGACCTCTCTTCTCAATCCTTCGTGGGCGACGCTCTCACGTCATCGAGAACGCACTCTCGTGCAGCAGCGTGCGACCGCTCGCTCGGCGTAACGCGCGTACACGCACTAGCGCGCGAGGCGCGCTAGTGCGCCGTTGTGACATACGCGATTACCTTGGACTTATATCTATATAAACACCGATGCGTATAGCGAAGCGTAGGACTGCCGCAGTCATTGTCGACATCGCTAGGCAGTTAATGACGCGAATAACTCGCGCGGTTTCGATGTCGCCTGAATAATCTCGCGAGCCGCGAGATAAGCTCGGCGGTTCGCTCGGAGAGCACGCGTTAAAATTCAAATGCTGCCTATTTATTTAGCTAGTCGGCGAGCGAGCGAGTCCGCTGGATACCGCCGGTCGTTTGAATAAGGCCAACGAGGACGGATAATGCGGCGTGACATTTTTACAGCTGCACGCGCTCCCGCACGCGCGGGTGGTGCTCACGATAGCGCGATCTCGTCGGCGATCGTTACGGAATAGCGATGAGCGCGTGGCGTCCCGGCGCATACGCGATGTCGCGACGATGAAAATGTAATGAGCGATCGGCTGTTTTGCGCTTCTTTCTTGCGTTTTCGCACACTCTTGTTCGCACACTCGGCTCGCGAGTATAATCGTCGAGGCGAGGCTTGCCGCTCGTTTTCCAGCCGAGCTGACAAGGAAAAACGTAGGGACTGTGAATAGTCAAAAAATTCGGAATCTTTTGCGGAAGTAAAGTAGTTCATCCGTGCAATGCAAAACTCGATTTTTTGCTCGTGCGGAATTCCAGTCTGAGGGGGTGAATCCGGCCTTCGAAAAAAAAACCATTTTTATTTTCAGCGCGTATCTTTTAAAATACGAGGCATATGCAAAAATGGTTTATACGATGGTTGCGTATCTCATACTCTTTGCAACTGTGCATTCAGATTTTGCAAAATTGGACGAGGGCGGAGGGGGTTTGAAAGATTTTTCAATGAGAGTCGTTTCACTCCTTCAGACTGGAATTCCAGCACGAACAAAAAATAGTTTTGCATTACGGATGAACTATTTTACTTTCCGCACGCAGTTGCGGAATCTTTTGAATTTCCGCCTCTTCTACGTTTCTTTATGAGTAAACGGAGAGTTTCGACGCAGTTCGAATGACGCGGCGTCTTTTTAGACTTTTTAGGCAATTTCGAGATGCTGCGCATGTCAAATGAGAGGACTCGACTTGTGGGAATTTTGTCGGAAACAAGTCTCCCGTTGTGCAGCCCGTCGTCAGCTTTACCTTCCGACCCGTGTCGAGGAAGACGCGTTCGCCAAACCGTTACGAAAGTCCATCGTGTGCGCGGAGAACTCGTTTCGTGATGGTCGACGAGCGACGAATCCTTCTGCGAACAATTATCAGCGGATTTTTATTTCAAACACTCTCGAGGATCACCTCGAGCGCGTGCAGGTGTCATTAATTAGACCGCGCTCAAGTGCGTCGACTCTCTCGCGGTACTTTTCTTTTTTTCCTCTCACCGTGTCTTCGCGAATGTGCGCAGCGTAAACGCGCGTAATGATGCGTGAAGCGCGACGCACGTGCGCGTAACGCGGAGGAGAGACGTCATTATCGGCAGAGCTCTCTCTCTCTCTCTCTCTCTCTCTCTCTCTCGGGCGCGCGCGCGCGCTTATGACGATAAGCGCATAATTAGATATACGAACGCGCGAATGCGCGTTGCGGGGAATTAATCTCGCTTATTAATACCGCCGCGGAGAGTCGTCTATTGAATCGAGACGAAGAAAATCGTTTCGTTGTAGCGTATCGGGACAAGATAATAATACGTCCCATCAACTTGTCTCGCTGTGCGTCAAGAAAAAGGGAAAGAAGAAAAAAGCGGAAAGATAACTCTGGACGTTTCATTGCACCCCTCTCTCTCTCTCTCTCTCTCTCAGACGCGGGTTCGTTGGAAAACGCGATCGTAACCGGAGGATACATCGCCGCACGATAAGATCCGTACGCATCGCCGAAGCGCGCTCGTCCCGACGAGACGCAGTTTCTACCTAGGTCAGCGGATAATATACGACGCAATTAATGCGAGCTGGGATCCCGTCGCAGGTTGCCGTAATCGAGGCGTCTTAAATCAAGCCCGGTCGCAGCGGGTAGTTTCCGTTCGCTTCCTGAACCGAAAGGCGGCGGAGTCGCGCCCGCGAACGAAGGCCGGACGTGTGCGAGTCGCCGCGAATTTCGGCCGACGCCACTCGAGCGAGATCACCGCACTTTTTGAGGCAAGGAGGATACTTTCCAATTTTGTTTCTCTCTCTCTCTCTCTCTCTCTCTCTTACTCTATGGGGTTCGACCCCGGAGTGCAAATACACTGCTCAAAAGAATTATGGCATAGATAATTTATTGCCGAAAATTGGCCAATTTTGACCGGCGATCACTTCACGAAAAATTATTGTAGACTAATAATTTTTTTCTTTTCAAAATAAAGCTTGAAGTCTCGACTTTAAGAATGTATTTCCATTTTTTGCATGCGATGCACCCCCTACCCCTGTAATCCCTGACATCTGAGGGCATGTTTGGTATACTGAAAATTGCAAAGTTTGACGGAATGCACGGACGTGGACAATTTTTTTTCGGGGACGCCATTTGCACCGTCATAAAGTTCAAATCTTCCCCTTCAATTTGAAAAAAAATGGAGTCGCTACAATTTTTGTCGCAAAGTTACAGCCCTTCAAAAATATCGTTGTTTTTGGCCTTCGGGCCAAGTGTGCACGCATGTGTGTGTGTCCGTGACAGAAAAGATAAGGATCCCGTGGTTCGTCATTTTCACAGTCAATAATTACTTAAAGTAGAGACTTCAAGCTTCATTTTGAAAAACAAAATCATCAGTCTACAATAATTTTTCGCGAAGTAATCGCCAGTCAAAGTTGGCCAATTTTCGGCAATAAATTATCTATGCCATAATTGTTTTAAGCAGTGTATATAATTCTCTCTCTCTCTCTCTCTCTCTCTCAAAATATCAATCTCAGTCGATACTTTCCCCCGTTCAATCCGGCTGCGAGTACTTCTTTCACGAGCACGCGATCGTATATCACAGTTTACTCGCGTCGCGTGTGCGTAGGTCAGTGCTTGTAGGAGAATGCGCGGACTCACACCGCGTAACGCAACGCAACGAGCGCGAGGCGTAAATATGACGAGTGCGTCGCCTATGGAAAAACAGCTTTCTCTCTCTCTCTCTCTCTCTCTCTCCCTCGGCAGGTTCAGCCGGCGCAGAGAATTGAGGCGGGTAAACATGCGCGGAGTGACGCGCATGTGTGTGCGCTAATGCGGCGAGGGCACGCGTACGCACACACGCGTGCGTGCGTGCGTGCGTGCGACATTCATCGGACGAGGAAAAATGCGCGCAACGAAATCTCGCGCGACGCATCTCCCAGCCGACGAGGAGTCGGCCCGGCATGCGCGTCGACGTGCAGCGCGCGTTCGTCGATCTCCGCGGATGCTTCCGGCGCGTTTCCGCGAAAAAAAACCCGCGGATCCGATCGTTGATTGCGGCGCTGACTCGTCGTGGCCGATCAGCACGCTCGATGAGAACGATCGAAAGATCACGGCGACGGCGGAACGCGCGCGCGCGCGAGCGATCGCGGCCGCGATTTCCCCGCCGAGTGATGCGCGCCGCGAGAACGCGTGTTTTCAATTATCATCGGGAGTGTAGCGACTCGCGCGGGAAAAACGGCGGGAGAAAAATGATCATCGCTGCGCCCGGAGTCATTAACGTCTGCGCGCCGTATAAATCACGGGTCTCCTTACGGCGTCATTAAATTACATAACGCGCCGTTGTTTTCGCATTATGTGCCGGCCGCGTGGGCGTCCGGATCGCGGGAGACGCTAATTATAGAAGCGCTATGCGGTGGGATGACTTGCGCGAATTTCGCTCTTTTATCTTTCTCTCTCTCTCTCTTTTTCGCTCTTTCTGTGTGTTGTACACCTCATTCCGCTAAACACATTATACATCCGTTTTTCATCTCTTTTGTGTTGTACACGTTTATTTACATTATACGCTCCGCTTTTTTTACGTTTGTTGTACCAACGACGGTCTCCCTGTCGCAACAAGCAAATTGTCATCGGATTCAGCAGAGGTCGCGATTCTCCGGCACTTTCCCGCCCGAGAGATTTGCCTCGGCGAATCCACGATCGCACCCTCGACCGTTCGCGAAGATCGCTCGACGCGCACGCAGAGGCGGCACCAGGAAGGCATCCGAGTCTCTAATGGCCGAAGGATGTATCGGTCGCGCGGACGGCAGAGAGTCACGCCGATGTGGTATCGATCGCGCAGGCTCAGGGGCCGAGGGGCGGGAAGAGGGTATCAACGGGAGGAAACGGAAATTCGACAGTGCGCCTCCTGAAGGACCATAACGAGCCGTTACTCGGGTATACTCTTTCGGCCGTAATGCGAGTACACGAGACGGGAGGAGCCGAGGCTTGACTTTAGTAAGAGTTTACGAGGGCGGGCAACACGGGGTTAATTCAATCAGCCTATAATCCCAACTCCTAACCCTGATTACCCCCCCGGAGAAAGCGACGGCGACGGCGACGGCGGCGGTGGAGTGCACGTAGGCGATTCGATCCTGATTAAAAGGTTTCGTGGACGGTTTCGGTGCCCGGTCGCCGCGCTGCTGCTCCTTCCTTCTCTCCCCCCCCCCCTCTCTTTCTCTCTCTTCCTCCATCCACCGTGCGCACCGGGTAGTGCGTAGGAAATTCCGGCCGCGGGCAATTTGCTTTTCGCATCGGGAAAAAATGTGAGTCCCGCCGTAATGATTACGCGTCATTAATTGAAGTGGCCGGGCGTCGCGTCGTGTAAGATCCAATTTGCGTCGCGGATATCGGCGACGGCAAATCGCATTATGTAAAGCAGCCGGCGCGGCCGCGCGGTGCCGTTTCTCGTTCCCGAAATGATTCGCGCGCCGTGATCGCGCCCGCGTCCGCCGAAGCTTATCAGCGATAAGCCTCGTTTCTCCCCGTTGATGCATATAATCCCGACGATAACTGTAATGCTAGAGAAAAAATGAGGAGAGACTCGGTCCTCCCCTTTCCCGATGCGCGGCGGTATCTTTCCCAACGTGCGCGATCTCGATCGTGATCGCGCCGCCGGCCGCTATTTTTAGGCTCTCCCGGGAGAGTTATCTATGCGTAGAAAGTGACACGGCGCCGCTATTAGGACCGGTTGCTCTCTCGCGTCTCTCGTTCATCGCTCGAGTAGCAGCAGCAGCAGCAGCAGCGGTGGTAGTTGCAATAGTGGTGGTAGTAATGGTAGTAAAAGTAGCGGAGAAGTGGAAGAGAAACAATAACGCACTCGCTGTCGACGATTGCATTCGGCGGCAGCGGCGCACTTGTGGACGAAAGTCCATTTGAAAATGGGCTAAGTGCGCTTAAGATAATTTCGAGTTCTCGAAAGCTATTAGTTTGTCCGCGCGCGTTGCTACCGCTGCCGTTGTTGCTGCTGCATGACGCTGGCCGCGCGTGATGAATGCGTGGTACAGTTTTAAAAGCACGTAAAGGATCTCTCGGTTACAACCGGCGCGGGACAGGGAGCGAGCGAGAGAGAGAGAGAGAGAGAGGGAGAGAGAGATTTCCCAGCGTGTGCTCTCTCTGCCCGCATAGTATATAAATATTCTTTCTTTCATGCCCGCGGCCTCGCGCAATTTAACATTATTATCTCCTTAAAGCGCTCTTTTATTTATTGTACGCGCGAGGATAATAAAGGTCCTTTATACTACAATAATTGCGCGTGGTGGCGCGTTAAAACGTGCATGTCACGAAGTCTCTCATTCTCTCTCTCTCTCTCACTCTCTTTCTCTTTCTCTCTCGCTCTCTATCTCTCTCTGTATGTACGCTTGAAAGTATAATTAAATTCGACAAGAGTAATTATATAAGAGGAATCTCTGTGAGAGAGGGAGAGAAAGATGTTTCTATGCTATTTATCTCGACTTATTCAAGTTGAACGTGTACCGAGTTTAATCCAGGTGTCTCGTTAAAAATGCGACGAAAGAAATCTGACAGCGAGGGGGAGAAAGGGAGGACAGAGGTGGGTGGGTAGGAGATTAAATAAAGGATTAGGTAATTGTTTGAGTTGCATCGGCATTATCGGCGCACCAGTTTTTATTCTCGTTTAAGCGGATCGATCATGTAGTCGTCGTTAAATGACCGTTTGATCGAAACTTTCGTGGATTAGATTTAATTAGGAGATATGCGGTATCTCTGCGGGGGAGGGGGGGTGCTGCCCTTCTTTCCGGTCGCCGATTCCGACAGGTTCGAGCGACAGTTTCCGCACTCATCCCACTCTGCTAACGCTAATAATGGACTTGCTCGCGTTTATCGCAAATTGTCGGTGCCGATCTTATCTCGCCGCGATATTATAAAGGCATTAGCCGTCGCGTATGCGACTGGCGGATCGTTTTCTCCGCGATAGCATCTACCGTGTAACGCGTGCGAGCGAACGCGAGGCGGAGTATGCGTGCCGCGCGGTTTCGTGGAAAGCGATGTGCGTGCGAAAGCCGAAATGCAACTTTCGATCCGCCTTTTATTTATCCACCACCGTCGCGCCTGATGAATGAGCGGCTGACAACGATCGCCGGCCATCAAATACATGACGCGATTACTCGTAAGTACCAATAATGATGCATCATCATTGTCTTTTCGATTCGACGCGCACACGCGGGTTTGATAAAATTAATTTGCAATTTATCCCCTCCGTACCTCTCCCTTCCTCTCTCCCTCTCTCCCTACGGTTTCAAAACTGATAATTTCGAGATTTAAAGCGCAATTTAAAATTCGCGCGTACACATCGAGGTGCCAATCGATGTGACCTTTTTTGCCCTTTTTTTCCGATTTTTTGAACCTGGTGTTATCTGATGTTGTAAAGTTGGTCGCAGCCCGACAAACATCCCGGAAAGGACATACCGAGTTAATTAAATCCCCTCTGCGACTCGCTCTCGCGAGCAGAACTCGAGAAATAAAAAGCGTCTCTCCCGCTGGACTTGTTTATAAATCATATTTATATAATTTTACGCAGCCTTCGGTCACGCCATTGCGCAGCCCGGCTCGCGTGCTCACACGCGAGCGTCTTTTCTGCAGCGGCGTATACGAGCGGAGAGCCGCGCTTTTATGAATAATTTATCCTCATCTCGCCGCGTTCCATCATTGTTTCGTACCTAGCCGGCCGCGGTGTATTTGCGTATATAGCTGGTGTCCTTTGTGCGTGAGCGGAATTATCAACGGGGCGATCTCGCGACTGCCGAATCCGACAGCGAGCAGCCGCGCTGACGACGACGACGAGAACGAGCGCGAGCGACGTCGTCGCGCTCGACGATTTCCACTCGAGGCCGGGAACTTTATTTCCGGCATCGACGTCAATGTGCCGGACGCCAATTCGAAAATCAACGGCGCGTCACAAAGGGGGTTTATCGCGGCGAGCGGGAGCCGAATGTCATGCCTCTATCGCCCTGGGCGTTAATATCCGCGCTATCTCTCGCTGCGTGTAACATAATAACTGTGTCATCTCTGTTCAGCCCCCCCCCCTCTCTCTCTCTCTCTCTCTCTCTCTCTCTCTCTCTCTCTCTCTCTCTCCCGCAACCGTTCCCGATAACCGTCCGCAGCGCGACGAGAGAGATCCTCCACGTCGTCCTCTTTCTCTCCGCGCACCATCGCTCGCCCGCGCTCGCGCGTTCGCGTTCGCCCGCCACCGAGTTGATTGGATCCACTTAACGGGGTATATACGCTATGTGACATTACTGCTCTATGGTGTATGGCGAAGTGTGTTGTTGTTGCGTTGCGCCACCCATAACCCGGCGAGGGACTGAAACGACTCCCGAGATTGCCGTAGTCTGGGTCTCGTTAAAGGTCTGGAAACTATTGGGGATAGTTCGGCCGAGACTTTCGTAACATCTTGCTATAACGTTTAAGGATATATCTCTCGGCGTGGCGCGGCGCGGTCGCGTACACCCGGCAATAGTTAGACGGAATTTAATACGGCGCCGCGCATTAACGCGCGCGCGCGCCCGCGCGCGCATGATTAACCCTCGGCGATTCGCGGCGGCGCATTGCGCAATCCCGCGAGAAACGCACGCGACTCGTGAAAGTCCGTCGTCGGCTGTTTGTCCGGCCGCGTGTAACGCGTGGCTCGCTCGCGCACCGACGATCGCACGAGAGTGACGATCGTCCCGGGGACGATTATTGGTCTTCACCCGTCTTGCCCCTTACGTCGATGCGTAATTATTACCGTTAATGCGGTGCCATTAGCTGGAATAAAGCGAACGCGCTTGTAATCGGCGCCACGCGTGTACACGCGCGCGCGCGTCACGTTAATGCGCGCTGGCCGATGCATAGGTTCGTATACGCTTTGCTCGAACAACGCACACGTTCGCACACATCGCTAGTTTCCGCCGCTGGACCGAAGCGCGCACGCTCGGGGAGGGCGAGGGACGGACGAGAGAGTCTTCGCGCGGAGGCTAAGTGGGCCTCGCGCTAAGTAACAAGCAGCGACCTAATGACTCGAAAGGCCCCCGATTATTTTATTATCACGTCGCCGGAGTGTGATTTCGGCGACGGCGGCTCGTAAAACGGGGCGCCCCCCCCCCCTCCCCATCGTCGCTGCTTCTGCGCGCGAACGCGCTGCGGCAGATAAGCGCGTTCGCTCGGACCGACTGCGTCGGGTGATTAAAAGCGTCAGCCAAATGAGAGGGAAGAGGCACGAGGCTTGTGTTCCCCGCCACAGTTTCTCGTTTTATGGAAGCGTTTCGAGAGCTTCCGCTCGCGTCATTCCGCGAGATCGATGATCCGTCTCCGCGCGCGCGCGCGCGCGCGATGTGGGGATTTCCGCTCACGGTCTTTCCCTCCGCTGTAGAGTCGCGCTGGAGAATTGGAAAGTTTGGCCCGGCCCCGAGGCCTTGGCCGTGCTTTGGCGCCGTGGCTCTCGCCCGAGGCGGCCCGTAACGGTACATCTCTATTATTGACGGCACGTAATTCGGTACACGCGAGTCCGAGCGCGACGGCGCGGCGGAGAAGCCGAGGAGCCGCATTATCTGTCTTGTCGTGTTGCGTGTCTTACAACGTGATAAGCCGCCGGGGACAAGGTTGCCGTACAACGCTGCAGCGACGGGCTGCGTCGGGCGACGAAGACGACGACGACGACGACGACGACGACGACGACGGGCAACGGCGCGTTGGCGACGCCGATCGAAACCAGTCACGATGATCCGCCCGTTTGCCCGTCTGCCGGCCAACTAGCTAGCCGACTGGGCTGGCTGGCGAGAACGGTCGGCCGGAGAAGCAAAGAGAGACGCAATGCGAAACACTCTTTATAATGTGCACGCCGTACGTAGGGTGCGTCATCCCGCGTCGTAAATATCGAGGCCAGGCGAGAATCGCGCTGATGGCGAGATGCGAGCCCTTGCCGAGGCGTAAAAGCGCGCTGTGCAGGCGGAGGCGCGCGA